ACAGAGCATTGGAAGAAGACACACACACAACACACCAGCAATACACACATCTACTAATTACAGTGATCATGTCTGTCAGACATGCTTAACTAGACTCTGATATTCATAGATCCCATACTAAGAAACAGGGCGACACTATGTTATTAAAGTTTCCAGGTTAATATTGAATTTTACATTTTGAAGGACAGAGAATAGGAATCTTAATGTTCTCAGAGGTACAACATACGATGTACCAAGTTCTAGACTCAACATAGTCCCTGATCAGAATTAACAAGCGTTGTTTAAATGTAATCTGGACCGAGAGTACATATCAGTGTGAAACCTCTCCAAAACATGATAAGCACGAGTTGTTTAAACCAGGATGAAGTTTCCCCAACCAGACTTGATTTTTTCCCTCTTTTTTATTCGTGAAAAACTAGTTACTAGTTCTCAGGAAATCTCAAAACAGTATTCAAGATTCCGAAAACATCCGAAAAGGCCAAACATCACATAATGCCAAAGGTCCAACTGCTCACAACTCAGTTCTCAACAAAATAACACTATTTAAATCCATCTAGCCAACAACACAGAAACATTTGCATTCATCTCAACACCACGTGTGTTCTTCCTGCCCTCTGACAATTTAAGTCCCAGTCTTCACTCTCTTTTTTAATAGTAGCATGAACACCATACACCTTGAAGCAAGCTAAACCATGTGACCGATCATCAAGGCAGCAAGTTGGGGTTTATTGTCATTAGTCCAAGGACCACTGGAAATCAAACACAACACAACCCTGTGAATCAGCGATACCAGCTGCTCTAACCCAAAAACACCTCCTTGCTGTTTGATTGTCTGGGCTGAAACAGCTGCCTGCTGGCCGTCCTAAAAATGATGCGGGTAAAAGAGCAACTGAGAGTGAAACCAAGAACTCTTAATTTTCAGCCCAATAAAACCAAAACCCTTACCGTTTCAGGCCATAAAACCAAAACTCTTAAGTTTCCAGGCCATAAAACCAAAACAATCGGCTGAAACCACTCCAATAAAGCTATGGAAGAAATCTGAGGAGCAACTGAGAGCCTCTAGGGTGAATAAAACCCAAAAAGATCTTCTGGGAAATCGGGAACAGTCCACTAGTGAGAACGTGATCTCATATAAACACGATATCTGCCATGATGATGTGAAATTGTAAGCAAGATTTTGATTATCAAAAACACATTCTGGTTTTGGAGCCTTTTGTTGCCATACACAGCCAGTGGTGGAGACGGGCTCTGAGTGTTGGACGAGCTGTTGGTACACCAGCATGGCAAGGTGACCTTAAATTAATAACTAAATAACACACAAGTAAACACACACATGCTCACGCTTAAGCAGAAATACACTCATACAGACTCACACAGACTCATTGTCCGTCCTCTCTCTTTAAGATTAGTCTTCATAGGAACTCAAATCCCCTAAATACAATTTTGTCTTACTCAAGAGGGGTTTGTACTTATCAACAATTATAGTTAAGAGGTTGTATGTGTGATACAACGTGATTTGGCTTCACACAAAAACCTGAAACCTTTGTTGCGTGACATTAAAGGTTCTTTTACAGCAGAGAAACATTGAAAATAACTTGCCTGGAGCCAGATTGTGAAGGTTTCAGTCACAGGTCTCCGTCTCAATCAACTGATAACCATCTTCGATTTCCAGCACCATCATAAGCGTAGTTGACGAGTACTGAGATAGCCTTAAGTTTCAGCTTGAGTCTAAACCACCTGGAATGACTAAACCCTTAGAACAGAAAGTCTAAACCTTGCTGAATATGTTCCTCCACGATTGGCATGATGGGTTATAAAATAATTGGTTTAGGTGCGCACTAATATTTTAGAAGCCCACATTTGAAGAAGAGTTATTTACGTGAACTCATGTGACTATTTGAGACTTTATACTTTATGTTTGACTGGATATCAAGGTGATGAGTATTATTATTTATTGGTTTGTCCAAGCTGGGATGATTTCCAATTAATTAAGCTGAACAATAGGATTGGTCCAAGCATTGTAGCCAGTTTGGCTGGGTCATCGTAGAACAAAGACCACAATCTAAAAAAGTTTAAAGCCCTTTCTCTCTTATATGTTTTAGTATTTATGTTCCCTGTGAATAACCATCCATGCATTATAATGGATAACAATCTACTTATCACTAGTAATAATAGTATTTATATGAACTGGAGGTTGCATACCTGTAGAGTTTGGTCTGGTTGCAAAAGTTTTGCAAAATAGCAAGGGAAAGTTATCATTTGCTTTTTATACTTTTTCCACTTACTTATATACTGATGATTGAGACCAGAGAACTCAATCTGTGGAGACTTCCCCGTTCTCAAACAAAAGATGAAAAGTTTATCTTTCCAGTGAATCACCTCCTGGAATTTAAAAATGGATTTAGATTGAGATGCTTCCGCAGAGAGGAAACAAAAAGTATCATGCTCGATTTAAGATGGCTTCCCTTTCTGTCTCTTGGTAGGGGATGGAGGAAGAGAGAGAGAGAGAGAGAGAGAGAGGAAGAGGTCATGAGGCTGACCGACTGACCGAAAAACAGTCCCACTTCTGATCTGCCAGTCCAGATTAGAATTGAATAATAATAATAATAATAATAATAATAATAATAGGCCTGATGATAAGAATATAGCACACATTATTATTATTATTAATATAATATAATAAGGAAGAATAATAACAATAATAATAATAATAATGAAGGCAGCACTCCCCATTCAACCCATTCTTCGATTAACCCATCGCAGGCAGCCTTCTGTCACACATACACACACAATTGCGGATTGTGAAAAGAGAAAAAGGTCTCGGTGCTTCTGGTCGGTTGTTTACAAAGGCAACACTCATAGTACCCCCCCATCCCTCCCTCCTCCCCCCCTCCTCCCCCTCTCCACCATAAAGAGAAAAAAAATGTTCATCAAAAGCTGTTTTCCATGAATGAGTAAAAATAGCAAAAAAATAAAAAATAGAAAGAAAGAAAGAAATACATGAGCAGCATTGTCGGTTAATTTAACACATTTGCACATATACATTGTAAAATAAAAAGCCATAATAACAACAATTACTGATTTATTTTTAATTAAGCTATTTTAATTCATAAACCCTCTAAAGGATAATATTTTATCGATTCCATTGTGATTGGAATCGAAAAATGTGTGCACATGTTGTTTCATTATAATATCCGTATTTAAACACCACAGTATTAAAAATGCCTAAAAACAGTAATAATGAAAAGACATCTGAGGCATGCAGAAAACATCGAAAACAACCCGTTTCCAAATAATATTCCTCATCGAGGCCAAATAAATGAATTCCAGGCTCGTCCTAGAAACCAACGAAAATCCATTTTTATTCCGTTGATAATTGTCGAAATTAGCTTTATAATATTTCAAAGCAAAACTTACATTTCCGTTGAAAATCCGCACATTTTTGTGAAACGACTTTAGCCGACGTGTGTAGGCTATTTAAAATAAAATAAAATAATATCACGACGAAACAAAAGCAGAAGACCTTGTGAGAATACAAACGGGTCAAAAAGGGAAAATGTCCACAAAAAAGCGTAGAAAATGTTGAAAGAAGCACTTGGTTCCTTATTAAGGCGAAGATACAATATTTATTCCTTGTCTCCTGGGATGCTCCGCTCCGTCTATTGTCCTCCCATTCCTCAGTGCTGATGCTTAATTTTCAAAACTTCTATATTACCAAGGGACCTACGACATCAGCCGAGAAATACCCTGCAAGTACAAAATCCGTGAGCCAGCCCCGTCCGTGCAGAGGGGAGACGCTCGCGTTCCGCCAGCTTTCTGCCGTTACCGAGAGCGCGCGAGGGGGGACTTTTCCATTTCTCTCGCTTTTTTGGAGGATTTTAACGCATTTTTATTATTATTCGTTCGGGGCCAGAGAGCGGAGAAAAAAAAAAAAAACGGGTTACTTTGGAGAAAGCACAATGTCAGCGACCTTCCCCGGACTTGTCCACGACGCAGAGGTAGGCTGATTTATTTACTGAACGTCCTTTAATTCATGAAATTATAGCCGCTGTGGCAGGAGAAGAAATATTGCTTTGTTTAAACTGAGTTATGGAGGCATTTCGAGACGGCGGCTGCTCTCAAGAAGTCTCTAACTGGAATATAGCCTACTGTATCGCATGGATAGGCTATATAAAAAAAAAAAACTAATATGCATGGAGGGAGATATGAGCCGTGCATCTCACTGCAGCTGCCGGTAAAAACGGGGCTTTTTATTAGTGTGTGGAAGCAAATGAGGCTCGAGTGTGAGCCGGTAACAGTGTGATTAGAACATTTCAGGGCGGAACACTCCGCTGTGTCTCACTCTGCTTACCTCCCATCCAGAATGAGCGAGAGAGCTGGGACAGTAAATTTGCCGGCAGCCCGGTAATAATAATAATATATAACAGCACGCCTTTTAAAAAAGCTGCAAGGAGAGTGACAGGCATGCCAAAGGGAGGGGAAAAAAATACCGATGGCTCCTGTTGCCGTGCGTTCGTTCCCCTCCCGGGCGTGTGGAAGTGACATCTCCTTCAGGTGGTTTAAAGTGGGAAGAGAGAGAGAAAAAAAAACCGCTTTGAGTGTGTGAGTTGTGTTTTTGAGTGTGTTTGGGAGGCAGAGAGAGGAGACACCGGCTGATGCTAAATGACACGGCTCATATATTTCCCCGTCTCTTTATTATCTTGTAGATACGTCACGACGGATCAAACAGCTACCGGCTCATGCAGCTCGGCTGCCTGGAGTCCGTGGCCAACTCCTCGGTCGCCTACTCCTCCTCCTCCCCGCTCACCTACCCGGCGCCGGCGGGGACGGAGTTCGCCTCGCCGTATTTCTCGGCCAACCACCAGTACACGCCCCTCCACCACCAGTCCTTCCACTACGAGTTCCAGCACTCCCACCCGGCCGTGGCCCCGGAGGCCTACGGGCTGAACTCGCTGCACTCGGGCCAGTACTACCAGCAGATCCACCACGGAGAGCCCGCCGACTTCATCAACCTGCACAACGCGCGCTCGGCCCTCAAGTCCTCGTGCCTGGACGAGCAGCAGCGGCGCGAGCTCGGCTGCCTCGACGCTTACCGGCGCCATGACCTGTCGCTGATGACGTCACACGGCTCCCAGGCCTACGGCGTCGGTATGCACCACCCGGACCAGAGGCTGCTGCCCCGCGCCGGCCCGCGCGTCAGAACGACTACAGGTACCCGGCGGCCTCCCATCGACTCTCTCCCGTCCCCACGGGCGAGGCGCGGGCGCAGACCGCTAACCTCCCAGTCTCCCATCCAGCTCAAGGCCGAGATCCCCCATCCCGCCCACAGGCTTCTTTTTTCCCCCTTTGCTCAGGACTACAGAGAGAATAAATATTAGCCACATGCACATAACGACATGTGATTACACACACCAATAAAAGCGCCACAGAACCACCAGGATAATCCATAGCTCACCACTGCGAGCCCACACATGAAAAAACCTCACGCCTTACATAAACCCAAAAACCAAGATATACACACATACACACCCATCTCATATGTATAACAAACAGCATTCAAAACATATTAAACACCAACAAAGCACACAAGCGACCACAAGATACATGACTGACACTGTCCTGCATAACTCATCTGTCACATGTTCGTCATGATGGCCCTGTACTACAAATAGATGGAACCGTGTACAGGCATACACACATACACAGCACATAGACACATACATGTCCTCGCTTTGGAGTAAATATAGATACTGGAGATCATCTTGAGCATCTATGTTTGTTGCCACAACCCAAACGTGCACTGTACCCAGGCTGTAGTAATGCAAGTGCTTACCGGTCGTCGTGCGCCCTAATAGAGCAGCGCCGTTTTCTAAAGGTTAATTGGAACTGGCAGCTACTATACATACCCTATTTAGTGAAATCCGCCCCTTTTATTTTTCCAGAAACACATCGTGGACCACACTATTTTACATAATTCTTTTCGATGTATAAGAAATGGTCGAGATCGTAATAACGGATTCGCAACGGTTCTGTGTTGTGTGTGTTGGTGTGTGTGTGCTGTGTGTGTCCGTCTGTCTGCTGAGGCAAGAAAGCCTGGTTGCTCTAATTCTGCCCGTAAGGGCGGATTAACGGATCGGGGTTTCAGGGCACAGATGCCAGCTCAGAGCGCCATAAATGCACCCCGTAGTTTATCCACAATTACGCCAATTAAACGTCAAATCAACTTTGTTACTTATGCGCGAGACATCCTGACGTCGGTTCAAAATCAACGCATCTCTTGTCCAATAACAAACTTTCCCCCACGAACACGAACGAACACCACACACTGTTACAAGTCACGCGTTAACGGCAGGTCCCACGTCAAACGTTAAGCTTCGTTTTTTTTTTAACATCGACACCTTCTATATACCGACTGAAAATGTCCTAAGATGTTTGACCACTCACTAACCCTAATCAACACACATACATCATTTCAACAATAATAATATTTAATAATAATGACAATAAAAAAAACATCTGAAGAATAATCGTATATTTATTTATGTATTATGTTTTATTATAACAAGTTAAATTCATTCTTTTAATGTATTTATTTGACTTTATTTAAAGGGTGTGGCAGAATAGCCTGAGGATGATAATGTATATTAAATTACAAATTATAGGAATTGTCCCTAAATATTGCAGCGAGACCTGCATTATTTTTCTATTTTTATTTTCTATTTTTAAAATGTCAGTGCAAAATGGAATTTGTGCCAATAACATGCAATTTATTATACACGACATTTGTTGTTAAATTAGCTACATTAATCAGACATTAATTTTATTTCAATTTCCAGACCTATAGACTCATAGTTGATCATTGTTATGAGCAAATGCTATATTTATCTAAAGCTGCTGGCACATAAAAGGAGCCCAGGTTTGACCCTTTATTGAGCAAAAGAAAGAAACGGGCTCGTGAACCTGAGCTTTGCACGAGGCGGATGTATGAACGGAACAGATGCGCCTATGGTCTCGTGCAGCCCGGTCGCATCTTTGAGCGCGTTAAAGAGATTTTCATGCTGAACAAAAGCAGCTGCCACACCTTTCTCCCGTCACTAAGCTAATTCATGCAAGACCTCTGCGTTTTGTATATTGATTTTATAATCACTTTAGCTTCGGAATAGAAGAAAAGAAACCTGGTTAAGAAAGAACTACAACAAGCTCCTTTTTTTTTTTGCAGGTTTATTTTAATCAGGGTTTTTTTCCCTGCGTGGGCCTGGCCTGGAGGCTCGCACGGGGGGATTAAGTGTTTTCTGAATAAAAAAGCGCGTGTTCTCCTTTCTTGATGACATTGTTGATAGCACGCGAGTGTGATCTGGACCAAAATGGCGTCGGTAACAGGTTTCCCATACATACAGGCCTGTTTACACACTGCTGTGTGCTACAGAGGGATCCCCAACAGGTTGGTGGCTGCAACCCACTCTGGACACTTATGCTCATTTCCCAGTCTGAAGGAGTTGTGCTGTCCTCTCTTATAGCCTGGAGCCTTTCATATTAAGCTCGTTTCTGGGTGAGCCGTGAGCTGCATCCTTTTTTTTTTTTACCCTGCCCTCAATTTTTACTCAAAGCCTCCTAAGTGACGTACACTTTCTAACAAAAAGGCTTCCACCACTAGAAAATGGCTCAAAGGGGGGGTGCAACAGGGCCAGTTTGTGAGAAGCAAAAAGGTGGGAAACTTTACCGCTTGTTGTAAAAAGGAAACCTAAAAGGGTCTAATAATGCAGTGGTTCCCAACCTGTGGGTCGGGACACTCCAAAGGAGTCGACAGAAACATCTGAGGGGTGTAATATGAATTGTGCAGGAAAGAATTACATTTTTTAAATTTATTTTAGACTTTTTATAGTGTTTTCTTGTGAAATACTGACTTCAATCCCTTAAAGCTTCGAGAAATAAAATAACGTGAGAGAGACAAATCATTCAAACTGAATATATCTCATGTCACAAGCTAATCACTGATACAGGTGTAAAGAACTGGAGTATGGTGCGCTCTAGATCAGCAACAGGGCTGCTGTTGTCATTAAATTCATTCGTTTTCCCTAATCTGACATTGCATTCATTCCATGGTCTTATTGTTATTAATCTATAGATACAGTCTCTTATGAGGACAATAAGGATGTGTCGTTTTCTGTGTGTGATGGTGAATAAACACCTGGATGTCCACAGGTACACAAGAAAAATAAAAATAAAAAAACCTAAAGAAACGCCGTTAATTTCAGCTTGTTTCTGGAGCCTGACAGTAAAGTGTGCTCCAGCAGTGGGTAAAAAGTCTAGGTGAAGTGATTTCACCTCCCCTGCTCGTTCCTAATGAGTGCGTGTCTCCGCAGGGCTCCGTGGAAGCGCAGTGTGGGCTCGTGCTGAACGGCCAAGGGGGCGTCATCCGGAGAGGTAAGGCCCCGTTTATTCTCTGTTGTTGTACCGGAGGCCGTGAACACTCACGGCTCGACACGACGAGACAAGACAAGCGAGCAGGCAGACAAAACAGGCGGAACACTCCTCTCTCTTGTCTGCTGTCAACATGTTACAGCGGGAACGGCCCCCGTTTTCTCGCCTATTTAAACGTTAACACACTGTACAGGCGCAGAGACGGTGCTCCCCGTCTCCTGTATGAAATGGACTGTCACTCAACACCTGCCTCTTTCTCTTTTTTTAAAAAAACCCAGTCACCCTAAACATTGTCTCTAAATTAAAACGTCAACACAGCCATGAACTAATGGCTGATTCAATAGTATAAACCCGGAGTGAACACATGTTATACTGTCATACTACAGCCTGTCACACAGCAGTTAAACTCTTGTTTTGAAGTCAAACCTGTAGGCTATGTTTTAACAGCGCAGACTGACGGCCCGCCTTTGTTTTCATGAAATAAACACGCAATTTTAATGTCATGTTTATTTTAAGATCATAAATTCATCATAATCCCCCAAACATTGCTGTTGATGATCTTATCCTCTTCTGTAATATAAACCAAATAGGAAAACACGGATATTATTAAATAGAATTATTTATGATGTTATTTTTAGTAGCCTATATTTAAAAACCTCTAAAGTAATTAATAATGTCAAAACCGGACTATAGTCGACAATTTAAAAGGGTGTGAGGCTTAAATTGACAAATTAATTAAAATTATAGGTCTGCAATGGATATTGTGAATAAAAATAAATTAAGTTCGATTTTGCTAACAGGAAAATACCATCATATAGGCCTATTAGAATATAAATTACTTGAAACTAAAGGGATGTAATTTCAGTATTACCGCACATTTGATTGCTTCTTCTTACTTTCTTTTATTTAGACTGTTTGCGGGCTGTGGTGTAAACCATAACCACAGGGGTAATTATGTATTTGGAGTGCAGTAATTGTTGTTTCCTGTATGTGCCTGTATGTTTACTGAGAGCCAGCAGAATTAATCTTTTAAAGGCTGGGTCGTGTAGGCGGCTCAGGTCGAGGGGGGGGGGGGGGGGGGGGCGAGGATGTGGACTCGGCCTGCGTCAACACTTGAAGACCAGACCTGATCATTTCCAAATGAGTCTGGGTTTTGAACACGCTGCGGATCTCCCTTTTTTAGTCCATCAAAGCCTGCTCCGGGTTTTGATTTTAGTCGGGACTAGGCTATGTGTAGGCCTAGTTTCCATACAGAGAGGGAGGCTGTTTCTCGGGTTTAATTTTTCATCAGGCCTGCCTAGGTGTTGGGGCTTTTCTCTCGGATTGACGCGGGAATCCCTTCGCTATCACTTTCGGTTAATGGTGCGCCGTATTTGGCCCTGAGCTCAGCCGCTGCAACCATCACAACCAATAATCTTTGCTTTACCTCCCGCTCCCGTATCGATAGCTTCTCTCGCCTCGGGCGGACGCTTTGATATGCTAATGCCGAGCGGGGCCCCGGATTCAGCCGAGATCATATTAATGTTGTTCTTTCTGACTGCGGCTTTGGCGGCATGAATATTCACATAACCTTTTTCAAAAGAAAATCACTCAAGAAACGCGGATCCTACTTAGGAGGAGTCGTCTGTGTTTTTAATCACCCCGCTCTCCTCTTTTCCAGTTCAGCTCTAGCTGCAGCCTCACAGATCAAGATGATCTGTCAGGCGCGCGCCCCCGCCACTACAGCCCGTGCACGCGCCCCTCTCTCTTTTTTTTTTTCTTTCTGTCAAGACATTGGCGGGCTTTTTAGAGCTATAAACATTGTTGTTAAAATATGAGGAGAATGACATTTGGCCCGTGTCTCTTTTTCTTTAATTTTCGTGGCAAACTCGTAAAAGGCGCTTGATTCCGCGTGTGATCCCGCCCGCCGCTCGCGCCGCAGCCCGAGGCTACTCTCCGTTGCTTAAATACCGTTATCGCCTCTGGGCCCGCGCGCTCCACTGACTGCACTACCGGCAATAGCTCTTTTCGATTGCCCTTGGCAACATAAAATACAAACTACTTTGAATCAAAACATTTTTAGGGGAATTAATATGATGTGAACCCGCGGCTTTCAGAGACGCGCGCCCCTGTCAGAGCGCGTGAGTCTGACAGACAGGTCTGCCCGGTTTGTGTCACATACAGACACAGACGAGCCGGACTTCACACGCGCACCGACACACACAGACACACACAGACAGACAGACAGACAGACAAACACACACACACACACAGGATGCCCGAGATTAACCAATAGTATCAATCAATTCCCTCGATCTGCAATAGTCCGTTTTTGACAGCCTGAGTGAAATACAAGTCCCATACAGCCTGGTACAAAGCGCTGCCCGCTGGACTACAACAGGCTTTTGTTAGCACACCATTATGATGTCACAGCTGGGCGCTGTGGGCACGAGCCGCCGCTGTCCAGGTGCTGAAATGAAAGGTGATATCTGCTGTCCATGGTGCTGAACCTGCAGGTCTCACTTCCTTCCTGCGGCTAAAAAAAAACTGATATGGAACTAGCAGTTTTCTGCTGATTGTGAATAATAGATTCGTAGAGCTCAAATATAGGTTACAGTTGGTCATATATGAGGCTTAGCTGGTGGCCAAATTGTCCACATTGCCCCCGAAAAGATTGGCGTGTGCAGCAAATCTTCGCCTGCAGCGTTGTTCTATTCGGCCTAAATGGCATCCTTTTCTTCATTCCATCATATCCACCACGGCCTAATAACAAAGCGACACACCCTGCTGTTAGATTTGATAATGAGGCAGATGAATAATAGAATATAGCCTACAGTACATCAGACAGAAACCTTGCGTTTCAGCTGCTTGGGACGTTAGTTCAAGTGAAAGTTTAATAATAATGGGCCTACTCAGAGCAGTCGATATATTCCAGGAGGACCCCAGCAACACTGATTCAGATGCAATTAATAATGTGAAAGAGCCTTCACTATCACAACCCCAATCATTTATTCACACATTCAGGAGCCTCAAGTCCACAATGAAACCAACATGGTGGTTGGTGGAAGGTGATTAAAGCAAGGTTTTGTTTTCCCCTCCCGGGAATACAGCAGACTTTTTTTACATACAGACAAATATTGACCTGAAACAGAAATATAAATATATGTACATAGTACAAAAATACAAAAATACTAAATGTAATATTTAACTAGAAAAAAGGAGTCTGATGAAGTGCTGAGGGAATCGCATTGATCTTACCACTGATTGAAGATACTTGATCCTATGTATTTCTGTAAACCGTGTGTGCAATTATTATCACAATCTTTTCTTGATCAAAATTATATTCAATCATATATTGTGTCTACAGTAATACCATGTGAAGAGTATACAAGGATGATGAAGGCGAATAAACCAGCTAAACCAGTAAAAAACTAGTATTTCAGACAAACAAACTGCTCTTTGATGGGTTAAATAAGCCAAAGATTAATTAAAGGGGAAAACAGGGCTGTTTTTATTAGATTATGAAAAGGTGAGATTTTGGACATGCATGTTTTTTATAGGACGGTGACAAAGATGAAAACTGGAATATAAAAATATCAAGTTTGATCAATTTTGATGTTATAACACAAGTGGAAAGAGCATTTTATTTCCTGTACAGACAAGGAAATCTCCATTAAATGTGGGCAGTAGACACTACTGCACACTGGCTATTATTACTGCACCTAGAGGAGAGCCAACAGACCTCCTGTTTGCTCTGCTCACACATATAACTTGTATCATGTCACATATATGTGAAAAGGTTTGTACACATTTAACCGACTTTAAACAAAGTTCCAAAATATTAGACAAGAAGAAGCAACCAAATGTGTGTATTTGAGCGTTTTCTACACAAGAACACGTATCAAACTGTTTTCTAGGTATTTCAAATTCTAAAAGAGTTTTTATTGGATACATTCAGTACAGACCTGGAAGCACATTAAAAGTAAAGAAAGAGGCTCTTGCAGCTCTTGTAATAGAACAATACAGAATCTTCTCATTACTTCCAGCATTCATTGCAAATATATCCCTCAAAGTCAAGGCCCCATGATGCTTTTCAGCACTTTTGGATTCGTACTTTATTTTCACACAGGGTTCATTTGCTTTTTGTCTGGCAGGAGTTTGGTGTAATGCCCCGGTGCGTGCATGTTTCAGTGCAAACACAGTGGAACAGAACATCTAGAATAATTAATTATTTTAATATACTTTTAAATCAGTATTACAGAGATGTTTTTGGTATAATGTAACTGAATATTTATAAAAACCCAACCATAAACCAGTCTGCACAGTTTAAAATATTCAAGACTGCTTCTACATAAGGGCTCTCCTAAAATAACAGAAACATTTGTTGCAAACAAGTATTGGTACACAGTAAAATGTGCCCAAAAGTTGGGTCAACATTCCTATAGAAGCCTACTCATGTTAAACAATCATTGGACCCTGCAGTACACAGATGAAGAACTGGTGCTACATGTGGCACCTAAACATAGAAGAATTAATCTGTTGAAAATGTTGTTAAACGCAGCATTGTTAGAGAAATAATTTGCCCATTATGTATTCACTCCTATGAGTTGAAATACAGATGGAGTTTGTATGTTCAAATAACACACAGCCAATTATCTAGCAGAGCTCCACATCAGCCTCCTCCAAAGCAAACTGAAGTGACAAGAAAATTGTTATTTACTGTTCTATTAAACACTATTACGATAAATAAACCAGTTGGATAATCTAAAAAAGCTGAAATCAGGGTTGTTTGTCTTAGCTCAAGATCAAAATAGGCTGCATCTTTAATTTGTGTTAGGTTTAGAGGCAGTGTGGGCAGAAATATGTAAATGTGTGACAAAAGTAAGGTAGTTAAAAATATCAAGTCTTATAAATAATAACTTTTTTGTTAGTTGCATGACTATAAAAAGACAATTTTTGGCCACTGAAGTTGTCGTACCAAAGGTCGGTTGGACATACAACCTAAACCAGTGTCTCAACTGAGCACACAACCGTGCCGTTCATCCACACTGAACCTCGCTGTAACAAGCTGTGTGTTGTGTTTGTGTGCAGGAGGGACATGTGTGGTGAATCCTACAGATTTGTTCTGCTCGGTACCGGGCCGACTGTCGCTGCTCAGCTCCACCTCCAAGTACAAAGTCACCATTGCCGAGGTGAAAAGAAGACTGTCCCCACCAGAGTGCCTCAACGCCTCCCTACTGGGCGGCATACTGCGCAGGTCAGTACAAACACACACAGGGCAGAAACACGATCACAGCCTCTTTAGTGGATGCATACAGTGATTGAAGACAGGATACTGATTTGTTAAAGAGAAATCATACATTTACAGCATTATGGCTTCATGTAGAACCATTTCATCTTGTTACTGCAGAGAACCTAACTGTGCTGTTGATGTCGGATCCTTAACATCATCTCTGGAGAATGAGAGACACAAAACTTTCAAAACATGGAGTCCATTTTGCAGCAGCAGGGTTATATAAGAATACAAGTGTGTAAGTGTAACAGTGAAAGGGTGTAAGCACCTGGCAGTTTACAATAACCAGCAACTTGTGGACAAAGGCATGACAAATGCATCATTGTATGACTGAGAGCTGTGGATTGACTGCAGGGCTGTTCTTTTGTATTATCAAAGTGTTTTGGTTATTTTGCCCACCCACAGTATATCCTGTAAAAAATTATATTGAAGTAAAGAGGCGAGTGTGATCGAGAGAAAACATTGGCGGGTGAACACTGGTGAGCGCTGCCTGAGTCTGTGTAGTCCTCAGAAGAAAGAGAGGATATACAATAGCCACAAAGAGTATTGTAGGCGAACGAGGGGCCGGGGCTGCACGCGCCGCCATGCCCAGAGAGCCAGAGGGAGGCGAGACCAGGCCAAAGCATGCCAGGATCAGAGGAACCAGAGGAAAGCAAGAGTTGCCAGCACTGTATTATTGATGAGGCGGAGAGAAAGGGAAGGGGGAAAGAGGAGACAGAGAGAGAGCAGAGAGAATATGGCTCGTCCTACAAGATGAGGCATCAACAAAGTAAAAAAAAAAAGTGTTCATCCTGATCTGGAGTGGAATAAAATCACAGACACAACACAGAAATGGTTGTAAGACATGAGAATCTGAGCTGTGTTTTCACGTGTGTGTTGCTGGTTTGTATCATTTGAATCAACATCAATGTACAGAAGTTTATCTCAAGTGAAACTGCTGGGACCTCTGGTTTGTTACAGGATGATAGAAAACCCTCAGTAAAATTAAACCAAATGATCTTTAAAGTTTTACCTGATAGGAAGTAAGCACATATGCTTTTAAAATTTCACATAAAAGATAAAGAAATGACAGAGAGCATCGTTCCTCTGTTTTCCAAAATAGAACTTATAGAAAGAGACAAATGCTCAAACAATGACAGAAGAAACTCAAGGGGACCACATCAATTTATAAAGAAAGCTTATTTTATATATAATGAGTTGACATGTTTTAATTTTATACTCTTTGATTTAATTATTTTGTCGAATCAAAGCAAATCTATATTCTTCCATCCTTAATTAAACACACTTTTTTGTAGAATGAAGAAGGCCAGAGATGATTTTATTCGTATTTTGGTTCAGTTTCTATGAAAAATTATCAAGTGATCAGTAATGATGAGGAGATGTGATGCTTATGATGTGAAAGGTGTGATGTAAAAAATAAGTTCTTTTACTTTTTCCACAGAGCAAAGTCTAAGAACGGAGGCCGGTGTCTTCGTGAGAAATTAGACCGTCTAGGCCTCAACCTGCCGGCAGGACGGAGGAAAGCTGCCAACGTCACACTGCTCACCTCCCTGGTGGAAGGTAAGAGGCTTTTGTCCAAAAACTCATCCTGAATGTTTTAGTTATACCTTCAGATACATTCATTTCATAGTCCAGTTTTCATATTTAATTAGTTTAGCGCTTGTCTCATCAGTCTTTTTTTTGGTTTTGTGTTCAGGTGAGGCGCTCCACCTGGCGAGGGACTTTGGCTACACCTGTGAGACAGAGTTTCCCAGCAAGGCAGTGGGAGAACATTTGGCGAGGCAGCACAGTGAGCCTAAAGAAACCAGCGCACGCAAGAAAATGGTTCTGGCTACAAAGTAAGAATATAAACACTCATGAATAGAATAGCACAGTCACACTGAAACTATTTAGAGCTTAAATTGTGTTTGTAGCTTCTCAGCAAGATACAGTGTATTTTATTCAGAAATTTTCCTGATGTTAGTGTTTTCAATGTCTTGGCCACGATCAGATGAAAAGTTCCAGATTTAAGTTTGTCTACAGGTCTATAGGTGTAGGTGAAAATCACAATCATTTCCAGAGTTGCAGCAGGGCAAAGAAAAATGTATCATTTCAAAACTAATTCTTTGATAAAAAGTGCTTAGACCAACACGTTCAGCAACAAGAAACTGATTCTCAGAAACAGACAGAGGAAGTTTAACAGAGTTTTAACAAGCCATATATATATATATATTATATATTGCCCTCCCATTCCATCACACACACTTTTTATGCATAAACGGTATTTAAATTTTAAGATATTGTGCCTGCAAATGTTAGGCTACCAGGCTTGTGTTTATTTACAGTATGAGCTGCATTTACTGTAAATTCTTATAAGCACATCAAGTACTGAATGTGGTGGGGGGGGACAGCTCCTGCTCTCTTCCAGCTAAGTTGATTGCCATCCCAGCAATGATTTCAACACTGAATAAAATTCTAAAGACAGTCCGGACCAATGTTGAAAACCACCTTTGACTCTGACAATGTTTGGTATCATGTTGTGAAAGTGTTTTGCTTGTTTTTTGATTGACATTGAACTTGTCTTGCTCCTGCATGTACTATTTCCTTCAATTGTTTTCCTGGAAGGAATTCAGGTGTGGGTTGATCCAAAATGAGGAGGATGGGTGCAAGAGAGAAAAAAAAAAAAAAAGACACAAATTGTGACAGTTGTGTTGGAGACAGATGGTAAACCCTCATTCCCTCCCTCCTTCTGTCTATCAGGCAAATCTGTAAGGAGTTCCAGGACTTATTGAGCCAAGACCGTTCTCCTCTGGGCTCCTCCAGACCAACCCCCATCCTGGACCTGGACATCCAGAGACACCTCACACACTTCAGGTAACACACACATGCTTCTTTATACAGAATTAATGGACACTTTTTTTAAACTATGTTTCCAATCTGTAGTATCTCTAAACACTAAAAACTACTGAGTGTAGACCGTTTTCTTGCAGAGCCCGGCTGCTCTCCGCTTTGGCTCTGACCACTTTGCCATTTTCGAAAGATGCAGCTGTGCAGTTTGTTATTTGGCAAAAATGACAGAGGAGGAGGGAACATTGGCTTGTTAGCAGAAATGTCACATCTATGGCGTCATCCTTTGCAAAATATACAAAGTTTTAGCAAACCTCCAAAGGGAGAGATGTACTGTGGGGCAAAGAAATAAGATGTGAGCTTGTTTGTATGAATAGTTATGACAGATTGAACAGCAGCTTAAAGCTCTGAGCTGAGAGGTGACCAGACATTTATCTTTGTAGGAACCTCCCTGAGAAGCTGATAGGGAGGTCCAAACAAGTATTATATTGTAAAATGAATTTATCTTATGTCTTACCACGTACAGCCTCTATTGTTATCCTGCTGTCTTTTGGTGCTTTGATTAACGTCATGATTTTGATTTGTCATAATTGATTTGTAGCATGACTGGATTTTTGGATTGGATTTTTGGGTAAAATAATACTTATAGAAACAGAAATTATATTAAAAAAGCATACAGTACAGTAGATCTGGGTGTGCAAACACATTTTGTTTAAAGAAAGACAAATAAAAACATGGTTTATTGTGACTGTTGATCGCTATAAATACCCACCTGCAACTAAGGATTATTTTCATTGATGATTGTTTCCTGGATTTTTTTATTTAGTCTATAAAATTTCAGAAAATAGATAAAAATCACAATTTCTAAAAGCTCGAGGGTAAGTCTTCAGATGTCTTCTTTTCCCTTATCAACAGTCCTAAACCTAAAAACATGATCAAATTAATCACATTGGACAAAGAAAAACAGCAAGTCCTTACAACTGGGAAGGTAAAACGAGGGAATTTTTGGGCATTTTTGCTTGAAAAATTACTTACACAGTGAATCGATTATAAAAATAGTCAGTTTTCTGTCAATCAGCTACTGAAATATGTTTAATCCTGACAACATTCAGGCCTTGAACTTATTATAACAGTTGTAGTATTCTGTGTTTTCCCATAAATTATTGTAGAAACAGCATTTAGAACATCACAGGGCATTTAAACTCTGCTCTGACAGGGTTAACCTGACTAAAGAAACTCTTTTAGGAGGATTAGAAGCTCTATTGCAGAGAGAGGAAAGTTTCTCTGCAGGTGTACAAACTGAGGAGACAAAAGGAATGTGCACCTCTTCAGTAAACCTGTATGCCTTATGAGCCCCTAACTGTAGGCTACACCTGATTCTTCTTTCTGCACCTGAATGAAACAAAAAGGATTGTTCTCATAGTTGTTTCTGTCTCCTTCCTGACAGCCTGATCACTCACGGGTTCGGCACGCCAGCGGTCTGTGCGGCTCTCAGCACCTTCCAGACGGTCCTGAGTGAGATGCTCAACTACCTGGACAAAAACTCGAGCGGGAAAACAAGCGGACCCACCGACCAACAGATCAACAACAGCTCAGAAAAAACGCAGCTCCGGAAAACAGCCGAGCCCCAGAGCAAAGACGGGAAAACAGAAAAGACTGAGTAGCCCCCACCCAGCCGGTCCCCGTGCCTTGGAGCATTTAGGAGTGTGTGTGTGTGTGTGTGTATGTGTGTGTGTGTGTGTGTGTGTGTGTGTGTGCTCTCAGAAAGGAGTTGTTAATTCCCATGGTGTGTGTGTGTGCTCTCAGAAAGGAGTTGTTAATTCCCATGCATTACTTGTGTCTTTTTTGGGACAATTCATATTTATTGTCATTTATTTATCTTATGTTTGAAATGTAACACTGACCTGAACTGTCCCAGACAAGACATCCTGATGTGTATGTGAAAGTAACACATCCTGTTTAGGTGTGTGTGTGTGTGTGTGGTGTGGTGTGGTGTTTATGTGTGTTTGTGTGTGTGTTTATGTGTGTTTGTGTGTCTGTCATGAAAAGGAGGAGCCTCACCATGGAGACGGCTGTGACTCATCCAAGACTTTTATTTGTTCATTTATTAATTCTGAAAACAGGAAGTAAATACGGACATGCTGACAGCACAGTTTTCCAGGACAGGGGTGGTAACTGCCAACACAAAATAACACACACGTTAAAGGTTTTGGGCAATTTGAGCTCAATTCAGCTATTTTAGATGTGGATTTTCTGCAACAACAAAAAAACTGAAACATTTTTGGGCCTCAGAAGGTTAATTTAATCTGTTTTGTATTAAATTATTACAAAAAATCTGTCATAATCAACCAAAATTCTAATTAGATTAAATTGAAAAGGAAATGACTCTGACTCAAACCCTTATACATGCAAACTCAAAAACGCTGTTTTCCAACCCCCCCCTGTACCTGTGAGAGCACTTGAACCCCACCAAGCAGACTTATTTTCACGTCGAACAATCAGTGCCATAGCAACCAGTGTGTTTACCATGTGGTCGACAGAGGAAAAAGGGACTGTTTCTCGAGACTGACGCCATTGCCTGGGGTAGGCTACACACTGTGGTGTGTCTGTGAATGTGTGTGAATGCGTCTTAGTGTATGGAAGAGATAAAGACAAGAGTGAAAGAGAGAGAGAGAGAGAAGGGTCCAACTCAGCCATTTTGTAAAAGGTGACTTTACGGTTACCGTCGTTACTCTTCCCTGTGCATGTCTATCTTTGTACACTCCCCAGATCGCAAGTTTAGCCGACACAAGCTCTCTGACTCGCTCATGAACATTTGTAAAGATATATATAAATATTTAAATTACTTTTCTTGTAGGCTTTCAACTATATATATGTTAAATCCCTACCTTCTAAAATGCTGGTGTTCAATAAAGACAGTTGCTACGTGTTCTACTATTTACTCTGGTTTTAAGATGCTGCACACACACCACATATAAGCATATATACACACAGAAGGAGGCAAAAGAGCAACCAGAGACCAAAGAGAGGTAACATGGATCAAAGCCAGCGAGGGTGAATTATCCATATGAGTTCACAGTGTTAAAATTATAAAAAGTCAGAGTTCCTCTCTAATGTTGTGAAAAAAAGGCTATACCTACAGAAAAGTTCAAAGGCCTCCTTTGTGTAGCATGTGTATTTTCTTTCAGGTTGAGCAACTTCTGTCAGGTTTCTCTGCTTATTTATATTTCCAAAGAAAAACAAAATCTGATGATAAAACAGAGAGAGGAGCAGCTGCCTGCTGGCGTCTCCATCCGGGCTCTGTAGGTTCTGTTTACTCTTTAATATTCCAGTCATTTAAAAGGAGGTCACGTTCACTGCATAACACAAAAATACATAATCAGACAGGATGCATTTACAGTGATGCCTGCGCTGGTTTGTCACCCTGAATCAATGCAAGTGAAGCCTCAGGTGGAATAATAATAGCGGTAAAGACAGTGATATAAAGGGAGGAAGTGACATGGGAGCAGAATTCCAGTATACTCCCAGTCTTGCTGTTATTGTTTGGTCTGGTATTTGACAGATGGTATTATCCCCCAAATATACACAGCTGCAGTCAATGTTTTATGATGCTGGGACAAAGCTGAACCACTGATTATGCATCGCAAAATGTCAAAAAGAATGTACGGTGGTAACAATAAGCTGTCTACAGCCTCTAAGTGTGGAGTGACTTGGGTTTTTGATACCTGCTTATACCTCCAGCATATCTTTCAATACACTTCAACCACAAAGTTTCTATCCAGCACAATGAAAGTATAAAAGGATCTAATCGGAGATGCAACACTTAGAAGCAAAAATGATGAAAACACATCGTGTGCAACCAAACTTACAGTACTGCCGACATTTTTGCTTTAGTGCTGAAAGAATTATTCAGTTATTTGGTTAATAAACTGACAATTTTCATAATCATTTATCTGTCATTTATCAAGCCAAAAATGTAAAATATTCTCAGCTTGACGCTTCTCAAATGTGAGGATTTGCTTTTTTCCTCTCATTTATTCCAGTAAAGAATTATATTTTATAGTTTTGAACTGTTGGTTGAACAAAACAAACTCTTGGAGACTGTGATATTTTATCTCTATTTTCTGACATTTCATACACTAAATTATATGGATGGCCCAGTTTTGCTTATAATGATCATTTTACTATAATGCACAGCCTTTCGTTTTACTCTTAGTTTTTCTTTTAGACATTCAGGCTCTGTCACAAGAAGCAGAAGAACTGCTTGCTTCAGGGTTTCACTCATCCTGATCCAAAATCATAATCCCCCAATCAAACACAAACTTCAGCGCAGGTTTCTAGCTTTTCTTCCAGAGTAAAATCGATTCTAACATCAACATAACTTATCATTTTCATATTTAACTCCTTTTGCTCCTGACTTCTGTGGTTTTCTAGAGATATTTGCTGCATGTCTTGAAACTCTTCATGAAGCCACACTGAATAAAATGGAGCCTGACAAACATACACACATATCCAACTTCTGATCACCAGGAGGCTGATTGAAATGTTGTTTACACTCAGCAGTCTGTAATGACGGGAAGTCCAATATGACACAAACTCAACATTTTGAGTACATGAAGGGTACCCAAAAACAAATTTTTTCTGGCAGTTGCTAGGCTACAGAATTCTATAGCTGTAGGTAGATCCTCTTATTTTGCTTCAGTTTTTTTTTTTTAAATGACATGTTTTAATCACATTTGAGTCTGAGCTGCTGGGAAGAACTTTAATGATATCAGTGGCTGATGTGGAAGAATCAGCCTGATATATAATCAAACTCATGTATCTCAAACACTGTGTGTGAAGATGTAACAGAATGATGTGTATGAGGCAAAGCAGCTTTCTAAATTGGCTCTTTGATGGTTGCTGCATCTCACTGGAGGGTATGAGCGGCAGCAAATAAGCATGAACATACATACTGTACACACCCACACACACACACACACACACACACGTATGCAAACATACACTCAGAAAAAGCAATTTAATCACAATTTGGTTTGTGATTAAATTGCGTGATAAACATGTAATCCCTGCGAAAGACATCCCTGCTGACCCTGCATCAGAATAATAAGCAGTTTGATATAAAATGAGCTGGAAAATGAAATCAATTCATTGCCTGTGCCGGAGTTTCTGTAAATTGACAAACGGACAAGAATGAATCACAAGTTTGACATCTGCAATGCATAATGTGATGGGGCGGCCGATGCATTATTCACACAGGCTATTGATTGCATTACAATGCGGCGCTCTGTTATCACCACATTAAGCATCAGAGCATATTTTCAGTTTCAGCATTCTCCGATTCAGCCTTCAGTGCACAATGTTGTGTGTTATCTAATTAAATACATGAATCATTCCAATGCAGTACAGATATTATATATTTGGCATCCAGAACACACACTGAAATTGTACATCTTCAACCCCTGAAAAGCATGCAATGAATACTGCCATTTATACAGAAGTGAATTTAACAGTCTGAGGTCTCAGAGGGACTTTAACTCCTGCTGACTGAGCCCCACAGTCACGAATACCAAACTCTGCTAACTTCTAAGCCCCATATCTCCAGTCTCTCTCCTCTGAAGCTATAACCCTCCTCCTCCCCTGCCTCTCTGCTAAAACCTCTTCCTCTTCAGTCCTGATCCCGTTCAGTCCCAGAAACATTCAAGGCCTTTTCTCCTCAGCTGCCATCCTGACTGTCCCTGTCACTCTCTGTCAACACACAAATACACACACACACAAACTGCACTTCACTCAAACCTAAAGGCCTCTCCCACATCCAGGAAGTCAGGAATACCCTTCTCTCCGCTGAGTGCTGTTCAACCTCTGCTGCTTCCGTTAGATCCTGAGAGGGAATTAGAGGTGGAAGCTACGATTTATTTAACAATCTAGCTTTTTTGTTGCTGTGTTGAACACAACTCTCATTTCAGGCTGTAATGATGCCACACTACTGTTTTGTTTTAGGATGCAAACAGAGATTTAGTCATTTTATCTTTCCTTCCTCCGTAAACATCCATCAGTCACTCCAGAATTCATGTGGACATCATTAATGCAGATGGCCACTGGTGGTCTGCCAACATGGAAACACTGATAATAAAAAAGTGGGGTTTGAAAGATTCTATCTTTTTATGGTGTTTACTTCTGTTGTCTGTTTTATTTAAGTGTCTCAATCAGCAAGCAAGCGAGGCAACATGCATAATAGCAAGACCCTGAAACTTGTATTATTTACACCTGTAATTTATACTGCTGTGACATGACAAAATGTCTTCTGTGAAATTGAAATTTTACACATTTAAAAAATATGTATGTAAATCTGATTGCTGCTTACATTTTCCTTCAGTTAGGAGCCACTACTCACATTTACAGGACGCAGTTTCATGCTGATAGTTTATCAAATTCAATGCTGAACTCAGGTCTCCATGTTGTTGCCTCCTTTCTTGGCCCTCATCTCTTTTCTGTGGTATTCTAGTGCGACCTAGTGGTCAACAGCGGAACTGCAGCTTGAATATACATAATGTCAGCATGTAATGTGAAACCTGTCAGACTGGATCAGGTTAGAAAAGGAAGTCTCAATATAAAAGGAAAGGGCCGTGCATAAAACAAAGTCATATAAGTGTTGTTTTTTTAAGTAAGAAAATTAAGATTTTATTATTTTCACAACCTGTTGTTGATGCCTTTATGTCAACAACAAGATGTATAAATCATCATTGAAACATATACTGTATAAAACTGGAATAATCCATTTAAATACTTATTGAATAATCCATCCATGGCCTTCTTTTCCAGTCACTTGAGACAGTGAGTAAACTAGACCATCCATTCCAATTTTCGGTGTCAGGGTTTTGTCGAGCCATCTCATTGGCGCCATAATAAATAAAGTACATAATACTACACCACATCTTGTCACCGATACCTATAAGATGTCATTGCCATTTTAAAATTACACTCCAGTTCTCTTTGCTAAGACAGAAAGCAGGACTCAAGTGGAAGCACAAACAATCAATTTACCATTTTTAAAAGTCTAATCTAGTCACTGTGAGTCCTCAGTACACGTCCCCATAACATGGGAGGCTAAATAATTAAAGGATTACTCCACTATTTCAACCTCCCCAATAACCCCACTTACTGTGGAGATCCTACAGTAGATTTGAAAGTAAGTTATTACATGAATGTGAATTAGAGCATTATAGCACAAGGAATACATGTCACAATTGACCCTAAGGAAAGGTAAAGACGTGCAATAGGATGTGCAACTAAAAGGGCCAAAAGAGGTGGAATCGAAGTGATTATAGTCTTTTTCCTGACCGAAATCTTAGCAAAAGGGAAAGTGAGGTTGAATATGGCTCTTTCGTGTGGTTGCAAACAAAAGGTAGGGAGCAGATAGAACACTATTAGTGTGACATGCATGTAATGTATGCTGATACATCGTGTGTCAAAGCCCTGCAGGACAACAACCACAACCATTGCCTCCAGACTTCCAGACTGTCAGGACATCTGTCATTGCTGACAGTCATATGCCCTGCCGTGCGTGTGTGTGTGTGTGTGTGTGTGTGTGTGTGAGTGTGTGTGTGAAGGAGAGAGAGGGGATCTTTGGCAGCGGGTCATTCCAGAGAACATGGGAACAGCCGTGCTTCTTAAACATTCATGTCTGGTATCCTCAGTGGCAGTTTCTCTTTTTTGCATCAAACATCAAAAGGGGCTTAATGATGACAGCAATGTCAGAGAAAACGTACACACATACAGGAGTGTATGGACACATATACAGAGACCTCTAAAACTTATTCTGACACATAAACTGAACCTAGTGAGAACAGCTTTTTAATCATTTTAAAGACCAAAAATTGAATTCCTAACAGTAATTTTCTGGTCAAAATGTCAAGTTCTGACTCAATTGTCACACACAAAAAAATGTGTATTTCCTCCTAAATAAATCCATTTCTTTCTGTAAATGACATACTCTTTAAGTTTTGATGGATTGATGCATGTATACTCTTGTGACACTAGGGGGAGCAATTTACACACACTTGGACAACTTCTTGAATTAAAGGGTGGGTGAAGGGGAATGCCAGACTAATGAAACACTTGTTCTCTTGGAAAGATTTGAATATATATATTTCTTTTTAGTAAATCTATGAATGTGCATGAACAGATGATCTCATCTTTCTACAAAGCCAACAGTGAATCCAAGTGACAGCTGTGATTACTGAATGTTTTGTTTTATAGGTGCACTTAATCAAGAAATCACAGAAAATTTTATTGTGAAATGGATGCGACTCAGTGATAAGAATAAAAGGATCTCATGTAATATTAAACACTGCAGATCTGGTGAATGCAAGTAGCCCACTTTAAAGGAGAAGCAAACAATTTCCTATGTAATCCCCTTCTTCTAATGTCATGTGATGCATGCATTTAATTTAAGTACAAGCAATACCACAATAATACTCTGTTACAAATAAAAGCCCTACATTCAAAATCGTATTAAAGTAAAAGTACAAAAATATTAGCATCAAAACAAAAGTGCTCATTATATAGAATTAAGGAGTTATTATTAATTACTTTATATACTACTGGGTTACTCAACCTATAATAATACATCATAATTTATTAGTTAATTTATATTTTAAATGAATAATCTAAATCTGTAAAGTATGGCAGAACTAAATATATCAAATAGTCTTAATTTAATGGAGTAAAAAGTACAATATATGTATCTGAAATGTTCTGGAGTAGAAGTATAAAGTTTAAAGTAAAATACAAGTACCTCAAAGTACCTGAGTAAATGTACATTACATTACAATCCACTGGACGTCTGCCATGTAATATAACTGGACGTTAATTATCTTTTAATGACAGATAAATATTGATTGAATGATATTCACAGTTCTCATTGCCATATGAAGATATAAATATTTGACAGCATGAGATTCTGAGTACTTGAGGAAATATATTTCTAAATATAGATTTTTAAATAAACTTATTGGGATAAACAGCTGTTTTAATTATTTTGATTTTATGTTATGTTAATTATTATTAATTAATTAACCCACAAATTCAAGTTCAGTAACACCACCAATTGGATATTGCATTGTGATTGTGTAGCAATCTGCACTGGCCTATATAACATAAACACTTCCTGCAATCATTAATGTGACCACACTATTTACAATCAGTGGGTATACTGACTGTAAGCCCTCCATCCTGTATTCCACTGCTAATTATTCACAATATATCAATCAATTATTACTCCAACTAGTCACAACACTATTTTGATTTGTAACTTATGGAGAGTTTTACACACTTGCCATCCATTACCAAAGTGAGTCATACAGTGTAATCACAGTGGTTCCCAGTCTACATGGACTTAGTATATACCACAAGTTTCCAAACATTTGTATGTGAAGGACACAATAACAGTTTGAGAGGATTTTGTATTCATAGTCAATCTGATCAAACTAGGTTCACTATAAATTACAATCAACATGGTCAATCCTATTTGTTGTTGTTCCAACTTCCAAAAAATATTCTATTTCTCCTTTTGCTGGGGACACCCTATAATCCCCCATTGGTCCCCCATCATTACAATACAAGCACATGTGCACAGGTGACAAATCAAAGGAAAAAACTGAATGGGGTGAGATGATTGGGGGGGGGGGCTGCACAGATACAGGTCACAAGGGATCACAGGATGGTTCAATAATGTGATGATATGGTCTTCAGAGTCACCAGATTATAACCCAACGGAACAACAATAGGAGATTTTGGACCAACATGTTGGACAGGGCTCTGCTGCACCAGAATGAGGGAATATCTTTGGAGTTTGTGCCTCCAGTAAGGAATTTAGGAATCTATGGCCCAGGAGGACTGAAGCTGTTTGAGACAAATACACATCATTGGTTTGGTTTATAAATAAAATTATATATTTTTATAATATAGAACATAGCGGACTTTGTCGGGAATATAAGGATTATATCCTGGTCTTATTTCAATTGTCGTCACTGGTGTTTACACAGTCCACTAATCTTCATCAAGACAGAGACAGGCATTCAGTATCATTATGTCACAGTGGCATTAAGAAATACTAGAAGATATGAACTAAAAACACTATACACTTAAAAGAGCCATACAATTAGACTTTTAGTTTTTGGTTTAATTTGTCACCTATGTAGAAATCTATCTGATGTCCATTTAGTATACAGTAGCATCTGTAACAGCTGAATGATTACATTCAATCAGATCAGAAGTGTTTTAGAGTTGTTCATCTGTGTGCATGAAGGGCTTTTATTTTGGAAATTACAGAGATACGTGATAAATAAAACATGCACTCTTTGTATTTGTTTGCTTGTTCCTCCTGCTCATACATGGAGCAGCCTGCTTCTGTCAACCCGCCCATAACTCTTCAGCAGTAGTGGAGCCTTTGCAGGGGTTCCCCATTCACAAAGCCTGCCTGACTTTACAGAGGGCGGAGAGAGAGAGAGAGAGGAAGGGGGGGAGATAGAGAGGGGGGGGAGAGAGAGATGAGACATCCCTTCCTCACTTGGCTGCATTCGGTTTACCGACACCGGAGAAGCGACCATGCTGTGGAAACTAGTTGAGAATGTCAAGTATGAAGATATTTATGAGGTAACGTTGCCGTCCATCTGTTTGTGTCGTGAGGAAATTGAATTGTTAGATGTGCTTTTAGAGAATAATGAAGTGTTGGACATTGTTAAGATAATTGAGGTGCTCTGCGGGAGGCTTTAGGCCTGTTATTCTGTTGATGTGGTGAATATGAATTGGAGGACATTTCACTACATGAACATTTCGTTCAGACAGAAATTTGGCTCGTTTGCGCTCCAATGTTTTACAACGTGTTTATAAAATGCTGTGTTATTGTTGTGGCTGTGGTGCAGGTCCATTCTCGTTTTGGATGAGGGGGTGAAACCGAAAAATATTTGACATTGGATCAAGATAATTTGTATTTTAGTAATTATTTTCATGAAATTTTACACATATTGTAAATATGCCACTAAAAATTTTGAACAACTTAAAACTTCCCAGCCAATTTAATCATTTTACCTCTAAAAAGATATTTAGAAATAAATCAGGGCTGCTGCAAAAAATATGTATTTAAAAATGGTTGAATAACAAATGAACAGCCTAATTTAGATTTAAATAAACGCAAAAGAAAAATAAGTTGGAGAAACCCCGGGTCAGAGAAGGGTGATGATATGTCAGAAGTATGTAAATCATTTGGCTTTGATCCCAGAACAATAATTTTTAAAAAACCAACGAGGGGAAGGGAAGAAATACCGCCGCGCGCGGGGGCGAAACGCTGCTCCGGCTCGCGCTGAATGGGCTCGAGCACAAAGCACACGAAGAAAAGGGCAGCTCGCGAGGCCCCTCGGCTCAGCCCGGTGGGAAACCCTTGTCTCGTGCCGCACATGGCTTTTCTCCCACGGCGCGAGGGAGGGGAGGCTATAATGTTGTTAAACAAGTCATCCAAGAGGGCAAATAGGGCCCCGATATAGTCTACAATATAAAGTTTAATCGCTTCTTTTGACTCGTGACACCATTCACACGAGCCCCTCGTGCGCCCTGTAGTGTCTCGGGAGTGTTTTCAGCAGGCTAATAAAAGGCAGCTGCAACACAACATGAGCCGCCCTTTAGTTCTCCAGGAGTGTTTATGTTGACAGGCTGAAGTCAAAATGTCTGTCAGTGTTTGGGGACAAATCTTAGAAAGACGTGTCTGTGCGTAAAAGTAAAGTGAATTTGACTTATTCTGAAGCTTTATATTGGCACGAGGCTGGGTGTATCTGACAGGAACTTGACCCTGGTGGTTTCAGTGTCATGCTAGACCCGGTTCGCTTCACAGCAACCCCAGTTTATAATGTTATCCACCTTGTATTGTTTTTTATAACGTCAGTGTGTATGTAAGTATGCGCAGAAACGGTTTGTCCAAAAGTGTCTCCAAAGCCAAGAAAGTGCTCCTATCCTGCGCCAGATTTTTGCACATAAAAAGGCCCCTAACGCGCGTGCTTTTTGTGATGGGGGATTCCTCGCGGGTCCAGTCACCCTGTTCGCTTTCTGCTGCGCGAGAAAGAGTCTCCTTTTTCTATCTCCTGCTGTTCGCGCGTCGTTTCGGCTCTCCACGGAATTTAAACGTCACTCACGGTTGCGCGAGAGGCTTCACGCTCCATGTGTCGCCAGTCCCCTGCCTCGCGCACATTAATATTCCTGTAAGTCTCAGTCATGAATAACAATTACACCGTATACCGGGGGTAGAGGCGGGAGCTCGGTACTCACACTCAGAGCGGCGGCAGCTCCGGGCGGAGGAAGGTTCTGCATGGAGCTGTAGACCAGGCCAGTACCTGCTGATACACACACGCTGCTTTTTACCTGGAATGAGTTTGACCATCTCGGCCCAACACGGTCTTTAACTAGCCTGCTGTTTTTACCGTGAGCCTGGTCGTGACACCAACAGAGGGCTTTACAGATGTTAGTTCATTCCTACTCCACGGCGGTGAGTTTTCTTTCCCTCACAATGTATTTCAGAACCCGGTTGAGTAAATGGGAAATCCGTAGATATTGCTAGCAGACATTTTAAATGAGGCTGTAACATTTTTCCTCCAGGCCCTTTTGTGCTTTTTGTTCAGGAGATTCGATGCCAGGCTACTTTGGCTGCATCACCAGGGGCAACATACACACACACACACATATATATATATATATATATATATATATATATATGTACATATATAAGAGCACCATGGTCCTAGGCCTCCGTGTGGTTTTATTTCGTTAAAACGTAGCTCTAATTTCTGTTCTTCTCTGCATCCTCTTCAAGGACCGGCATGACGGTGTCTCGAGCCACAGCTCGCGCCTGTCCCAGCTGGGTTCGGTATCGCACGCGGGACCCTACTCCAGCGCGCCACCGCTGTCTCATGCACCCTCGTCGGACTTCCAGCCTCCGTACTTTCCACCGCCGTACCAGCCGCTTGCTCACTACCAGAGCCAGGACCCGTACTCCCACGTCAGCGACCCGTACTCCCTGAACTCCCTGCACCAGAGCCAGCAGGGCGCATGGGGGGCGCGGCAGCGGCAGGACGTCGCCGGGGACCGGATGGACAGCTCCACTCTGCTGGCTCAACCTCGGGCCTCGCTGCCACAGCTGTCCGGGCTGGACCCAAGGCGGGACTACGGTGGCGTGCGGCGGCCTGATGTGCTGCTGCACTCCGCTCACCCGGGTCTGGAGCCCGGCATGGGCGACGGACTGCTGCACGGGCTGCATGGTATGGAGGATGTTCAGGTGAGTCAAAGACCACAGCCAAGATTTATAGCGTGAATGTAACATTTTACACTTCCTATTATGATTTTTTAATTTTTTTTTAGTAATTTTTAGTTTTCGTTTGTTTGATATTTGAAGTTATTTGAGGGGAAATTGGGATCACTACATCCGAGAAAGATAAAATGCACACCGGCTGTACGTTGGACAAAATAGGGAATGTGTCAAAGCAATTTTACTACAATGTATTGTATATTATGACAATAACATATATCAAATGTATTCATTGTAATCATGGATTTAATAATTCCCATTTACAGTAAATTAAGTTTTATGTTTAACTAAAACAAACATTAAATCATGAAAAATATAAATAGTGGGAAGTTTTTTTCCTATTTGGATGACAGTTGTGAAATACAACAAAATTGAAATAAATATATTAATAACAGTAAAGTGGAAGACACGGATTGGTAATTGTTGACAGTTGTCTTCTTCATTGTCTCCGCATGTTCGCCGAGCCTTTAGAGTTGAGGTCAGTGAACTCAGAGCAGCTCCCTCAGGGCTGGACTCTCACAGCAGCTGTAGCCTGACGCAAATGGCCCACAGCTACACAAACTGTCTTCAGAGACCTGAGACATCTTCTTTGATGAGAAGATGCTGATATGTGGAATAAATGGGCTTCACGAAAGGCTGCATGGGGCTCAAATGTTGCTTATGTGAATTTAAATCCACCTGCCTTTATTGCCATAATGATTCTATTTAAAGCAGACGAGTCTGAAGATGCTGCAGCATTTTATCAACTTCAATATTTGAACACCTTTTGTGATTTTATATATTATTTTGTATTAAATAAATATTTGTACAATTACATTTAGTGTATTATTTTCATTTAATTCATCATTAGTAGTATCATTATTACCATTGTTATCATCCATGCCCACACTATTGTTATTTTAAGGCTGGTATTTTTGTTTTACAGGATAATATAGATTTCTTTGTGATCATTGTTGCTTCTAAGATGCAAAATCTACAAAGCAAGCAACCAAAGACTTGTGAAATTGACTTTATAGTCATCTGTGTAGGATTTCATCTTCCCCTCGTTTCCCCTCAGGGCACAACCATCACAAATTGTTTGCCATTTAACCTCCACAATAGATTCTAATTTCTGGCTTTCCGTATTTGTGTCATGAATTTATTAACCCCCATATAAATTCGTTTTAGCAAACTCTTTGTTTTTCTTTTTTTTATATAGGAGCGTGCAGCAACATCAGGTCTATTTAAGAAGGAATTTATCTCGCAGGATGATGAACGAGGCTTTAGATTTGTGAGGATAGTTTATTCTATACGAGCCACGCCATCCTCAATAAAAGAGGGAAAGGATTTTAAACTACATTTGTTTGCTCTGTGGTAACAACTTAAAGACGTATATTCCCACTCAGATGAATCCTGCAGGATTCTGCTGTGTGTTTGATTGGCTTAAAAACTAAAAATAAGTTTCACAAAATAATGGATGGATGCTATGGTGAGTGAGTCATGCGGATCTTCTTGTATAAAGCAGACTATAATGATTATGTGTTTATCTTGGTTCGAGCAGACCATTGAAGACACCAACGGAACGAACATCCTGGATCAATCAGTAATTAAGAAAGGTACGAACACACACACACACCCACACACACACACACACACATCTTTGTCTGTACTCTGGGTAATGTTGCCTACCAATGCAACAATATGATAAAAATGTGACTTTTAATACAAATATCAAATATAGCCTATATATACTTTGGTAAATTCGTTTTGAGCTTGTTGATATAAGATAAAAGTAAAGAGGCAGAGTTGCCACCTTATCTTAGTGTTGCTTTACTCCATGTGTTGTTATATATGATGCTTTTCTTATGTGTGCTATGAATTGTGATGATTTATGGGATGTAGAAATACAGTCTCGCTCATAAAAAGGTAAATCTGGGCACGACTTGAACCTGAACTGGACCAGACGCTCCATATCTCCATGTTTCGGGCTTTTTGAAGATGAGGAGTTTAAAGGCGGGTTAACGATCCCGGTATATTGACTTGCAGGCAGTGTGTCGCTGACAGGCTGCCATGCTGCCGCTCTGATGATGTGCGGTGATTTAGTTACGGGATGTTGAGTGACTGAGCTCCCCGCGGGGCATTTAAGCCGCTGATGTAATAAATGGCACTGCTCACGGAGATCTCGTGAGCTCGTTTAGAGCTAATCTGCGGTATTATCCCCCGTGGAGCCATCAAAACCCCCTCGCACTGGCCCCTACGCACGCATACATGCACGAGGGCTGGCTGGGCTGATCTGCTGCTTTTTTATTTCTTTTTTTTACGCCATTAGCGCGAGCATTAAACACGCGGGATGAAGGAGCATCCATTGCTGCTGGTGGGAGTTAAACCGGCCGTGGAGAAAAGACGGGGAGGTGGTTAATGCGATTCGAGAGCGCGAGCCAATCAACAATCGATAATGTTATAATGAGAATGTCGCGCGACATTAAATAACAGCAAATGCCCGGCGCGTGGGCGCTTCATTAGGCCAGGGCCGCCCTCTGAGCGCGCGTGGCCCCTACCACACACACACTGAACAAAGTTTGACAGAGAAGAGATTTCAAACTTATCTGAACAACTTGTTATGTAAGAGAACCGCTCACACCGCCTCTAACCTTCCTCCCGCAGTTCCCATGCCACCCAAGAACATGGGCTCTCTGATGCTCGGCAAGGACGGGCTCATCGGTGGGGTGACCGTGAACATAAACGAGGTGTTCTGCTCTGTACCGGGCCGCCTGTCGCTGCTCAGCTCCACCTCCAAGTACAAAGTGACCGTAGGGGAGGTTCAGAGGAGACTGTCCCCGCCCGAGTGCCTGAACGCCTCCTTGTTGGGGGGCGTGTTGAGAAGGTACGACTGCAGCCCCAGAGCATGTTGACGCTGGAGTTCAGGAATAACTTCTGTGGATGTTTTATGAAAGCGTGTGGCTCGTTAAATATGCAGAGGTATCTGTGAATTAAACACTGAGCGCTATGAAATTGCCTCTGTATCCATTACCACCTAGATTCTAGTTAACTTTAACATCATCTCTGGAGACTAACCGGAGCAGAAGCTGATTAATAAAGTTTCCCAACTCTGATGCTAATACTGGTCATTTATTTATATCATGCTCTGTGAGAGAGTTTTTACATATTATTAAAAATATATATATATTTCTGTGCCACATATACACGTCTGTAAATGTGCAGTTTTACATGCAGGGGATTTCTTTTGTTTCTACAGAGCAAAGTCCAAAAACGGTGGGAAATGTTTGAGAGAAAAGCTGGAGAAGATTGGACTAAATTTACCTGCTGGAAGACGCAAAGCTGCCAATGTCACATTACTAACATCTCTCGTAGAAGGTGATTTATTTGTTTACTGTTTTCAACTCCATAAACAAACCGTGGCAACCGACTATAGAGACCAAACATTTTATTAGCATCTTATAAGCAATGAAATAAGCTCCAGTTTCAACGTGATGCACAGGGTTGCAAAGGTCATGACCTTACAGGCTTGACAAATGACAGTGACTGTATTCATAAAATGGCTGCAAGAGTGTAAGGAAAATCATTATTTAATATTGGAGTGGAGAGAGGAAGGTTGGGATTACTAAATTAGATTAAATTATGCATTAATTGATTAAATGCTGCAGTTTAGGCCTATCCCACTGTATGTTTTATATTGTATTTTTTCCATAGAGGCCTTGTTGTCTTATACATATAATCAACTAATATTCACCAAAAATGGCCATCTGCTCATTTCAAATAAAGCAACATCATTCTGCAAACAGGTAGCTAACATATAAAATAATACATTCTTTTACATTTAAATGTAGTTCAAATATTTTTGTTCAACCAAGGATTTAACTTAAGTCATAATTTATCAGACATTTGAGACTTGTTTTTATTTTTTAACCTCCTGATTGGCAGTTCACTACGTTTATAATTGATTGCATGTGTTCTCTTTTGCTATAAGAGAGCTAATAAAATAACGCTCTCCTTTTTTTTACTAATCATTTAAACAAGATAACTGACACATGTCATTAATTTTCGCAATAAAACAATGAGAATTTTATCACTATGTTGTTTTGCGGCAGCTGGGAGGACGACAGCGGAAGGAAATTAGTGCGCAAAACGATTACGTCTCATTTTTCAACAAATATAGCTGTATATCCCGAGACAACCAGGACACATGTGATCATGCCACATTAATTAATGATAAATTAAAAAAAGCCACTTCTGCAAATGGACAGGCGGAAGTTTCTCCATCACTGAGTCAAATATTTACATTCTCTGCGCTCATTGTTTGTCTATATTAGATGCACACTGACTATATGCTTGCACCTGTACCTCCCCCCTCCCCCACCCAGGTGAAGCGGTCCACCTGGCCCGGGATTTCGGTTACATCTGCGAGACAGAGTTTCCCACCAAAGCCGTGAGCGAGTACCTCAACCGGCAGCACGCGGACCCCAACGAGCTGCACACGCGGAAAAACATGCTGCTGGCGACAAAGTGAGTTTGATGGACCGTTTGATTAGATTCTGCTTCCTCATAGTCTTTATAGGGTGTCACAGAGAATATATAATACATGTCTGCAGTGTAGCATATAGGGAGATACCGTGGTAATGAGATTATACCCTATGGCTAGTTGTTGTTGAATCATTTAAATGAGGTATTTAGACACATTCAACCTGAGCAGAGCATCAAAGATCAGGCCATGATACATATACACTACTTTCAACACAGATAGAGGAAAGTGCTTGGAAAACAACAGCAAGATATTTCCAGTTCAGACTCTCCTAAAACAGCAGATGTTCTTCTATCTAAGTGTCCCAAAGATCCCAACAGTCACACATTTCACCTCATTTAACCAGGTTTATATTTCAGGGTGCCATTTAGAAAGCTTTTTGAATTACATAACTGTTACACACACACACAGGGTGAAAAACAGGACATTCTTCTCCTGCGAGTATTGTGAAATTAAACTCTGTCATTCTCCTAGGGGCCTCTATGGCCCCTTTTTAAGACCCCCCTGAGGGTGCAAACCTCTCCAATCCTCTGTGCTTTACTCTAATATCACATACAGTCCATTTTATAGCCATTTGCAAAAAAAAAGAGAGATTTTCTTAATGAAACGAATCATACTCGATATGGATCTAACCTATAATGAAATGGCCGATTGGAAAATTGCCACACTGAAAAATCAGGACAGTTAAATTCAATTCAACCATTTAAGGAAAGAGCAGAAATAGGCATTAAAGGCAAAAATCGTACAATGACTAAGCAAAAGTAGCGAGGCATTAATTTTAACCTTTTGATTGGAATATAAATGATAGTTTTTTAATATCAGGACAGGATGTGAGATAGATGCAGTGTGATCTCTTCACTGTGCAGCATCCTTACAAGGGGTTCATTTCACAGAATAATAACCTTTAGCTCAGGTATAGATTAACCTTATTTGATGCTGGACACTTTAATGTGGCCTGTACAGCTCACAGACATAAAAGTTTGCTAGTGTATGTTTGACCCCTGCTTCTGGTCTTAGAGGCAATCCATTTTTACTGTTACTCCTCGTAAAGTTACTTATATTAATCCATTTTTACGGCTCTTAAACTGTGGAATTGAATCAGGGATCTTCTGATTACCTTTAGTAACCGAGCAGCATAAGATTTCTTTAGAGGAACCAGGGTAGCAGAGGTTACCTGGATTTATAAATGTGGATTATATCACAATATTATCGATTGACGATTTTTCTTTTGTTTTTATTACAATAAACAAAAAAGCAATCTGCCAATTAATAAGTAGTCCCATTCTATGTCCATTTATGTCCATGTGGGTTTTCTAGGCAAAAAGGTTGTAAGCAGAGCTGTAAACCATCTAACGAAGATCCCTTCAGGAAGCTTGTATTTTTAGGTTGCATAAATACTGCTGTCTGCTGGCCTGTAAACCATCTGCCTGTGTGTGTGTGTGTGAGTGTGTGTGTGTATCCCAATGTATGTACGGTGTGCTCGGTGGTGGATGTTTGATGCTCAGATTCAAACCTGTTTCAATACTGTGTGTCGGTGCTGCCTGTTAGAAATTCATTATTTAGCAGTGAAGGGTTTCAAGTCGTCAGAAAACAACAGCGAGAGCCTTGAGTGTAGCCCGGGGTGGCGGCTTCTCCTCTCTACTCCCCTAACCCCAGCTGGGCTCGGCCTGCACAGCCTGTCACTCATTTGCTGGAGCTCTGCCCTTAGGCCGCTGATAGGGTATGTGTGTGTGTGTGTGTGTGCATGGGGCGTGCAAGTACAAATCTAAGAGAGGGAGAAAGGGAGAGGTTTCTTGAATATAAAATATGGGCCTAAAACCAGAGGATGATTTAACAAGGAGAACAAGGTGAAGACGTGGTTGTCTTTTACCATTGAATTTTTTTCGCCTTAAATATAGTGAAGAATGAAGATCCATTTGATGACCATAAAACCTTTTTTGCTCTGGCATTAGTTTCACCTCATTTTCCAGACATCAAGGGCTAGTGCTTTGGTACAGTGTTACACAATATGTGCTATTGGCATTAGCCTTGACTTTATGGGCGCATTTTGTTGTTAAAGTATTGTGGCTAAGTATTTTTTCTCATTCTTAAAGACAATTGATCAAATATGAATGGTATGACATCATAATAGTTGTCCAAAGAAGAAAAAAGTTTCACTCATCTAAAGCATCAGCAATAAACAGTTTTAGTGTGAGGCCTTCAGAATCGAAGAGGGGGCTTTGTTTTAGATTTTGACTGAACTTTCACCAACAAAACAAAGAGAGAAAAACAAAATACAATTCAGCCAGAAGACATGTGTTTATTGAATTAACTCTAAAAAACTTTCAGTTGGAAAACTTGTACGCTCTTAGTGTCTCGCCCAGCCTCCCTGTCCAGGTAACAATAACAAAGTAGCAGCTGATTGCATCAAATTCATGCTTTGTTTTCCAAAAGCATTCTGGGTAACACAAAAAAAACAGAGGTAAATAGAGAAAGCCTTTAAGAAAGTGTGCTTAAACGTCATTGCAAAATAAGCATTGGGGTTAAAAAATATCAGGCTGATACAGGGAGATTTTTTGCATTAACATTTGATATTCATCCTTTGTTTTTTTTATCACCTGTGTTTAACCTATTATTTACTGTAAAAATGGCTGCTGTGAAAAAGGTCTATTTTCCAAAGAACCCTGGTTTGACATCCTAAATTTGTGTCATGATGCACAAAGCTTTTGCTGTAGTTTCCCCTCCCATTGGATAGGTGGGTGGGGTCCTGCTGTCTTCAGGAGCTGCTGAACCATCTGCAATAATTTTCATCATCAGTCTGGGTTTCAGTGGTGGTCCTAATGGACACTGCACCTTTACAGGAATACTTCCCTAGGTGAATCACTGCTTTTGCCTTTTGTTTTTCTTATCCTAACATTTGCACTGTAAGCGATAAGAGAAACACTGAAACACAGAATATGCCTCTTCATCCTCAGTGTAGTTAAAGCACCATAGCTCTGGAAGATTCTTTTTATTAATAGGTTGCATTCAGTTTCAGGTGGCGTTGCAGGAACATCTGCAACTAATGTAAAATACCCTCACTGCCCCCCCTCCCCATGACACTTTTCACCACAGAGGCATCTCAGTACAACGCTGGTAGTGGCTGATTATGGTGCTTTTTCCTAAGGTTTCTTAGTTAGGGACTGCACATACTCTGATAATGATTTATATTTTAGAAGCAACTGGATATTGGCCAATTTGATCATTTACATATTGACTGCAGAGAACTTAAAGAGATCGATTATTATACACATGCATGCCTTGGTTGCATTAGCAGGTGCAGTAGAGGTAGAAGTTGTAGAATCATTGGTTTGAGAGTTTTGATCTTCCTGTAGTCCACATTCTGTTTGCCTTTCCACTAATAACTTTTACAGGGAAACAATGAATAAGTTAAAATTACAGATACTGAAAACTGCCACCAGATATCCATGATCAGCTGCAGTGGTATTACTATAGCTGGTAAACTCTAGGATGACGTCTTGTTGTGTCTTCTCCCTTGCAGACAGCTGTGTAAGGAGTTCACAGACCTGCTGGCCCAGGACAGGACTCCCCTGGGCAACTCGAGGCCCAGCCCCATCCTGGAGCCTGGCATCCAGAGCTGCCTCTCCCACTTCTCCTTCATCACGCATGGCTTTGGCTCGCCTGCCATCTGCGCCGCACTCACCACCCTCCAGAACTACCTCACCGAGGCTCTCAAAGGACTCGACAAGATGTTTCTCAACAACCCTCCCAACAACCGGCACGGGGACGGCGGCAACAAGGGCGACAAAGAGGAGAAGCAGCGGAAATGAAGCCGGGGAAGAAGGGGAGCGATGACGGAGAGCCGAGCAGGAGGCAGACACACAGACAGAGGCGTTACACCGCTAATTCTAGCTTTACACCACTGCCACTGACCTGCCACACACAGGGCTGAGGTGGAGGAGGAGGAGGAAGAAGAAGGCTTGGTAGAGAGAAAAAGGCAGAGGAAGACACCCGTGGGCCAGTGTCAGAGAGCACAGAGGGATTTTTCATCTGTGTTAAGTTCTTTTCATTCCCCTGAGGACATGGTGGTTACTGTGTTACATCCATTTCGCTCCCCCTGCTTGCATCCTGTGAGACTGAGACGCTGTGAGCAGCCAACAAACAACATTGTGTGTGTGTGTGT